AAAGGTTGTGGATGCCGTCGATGTGAATGATTTCATAACGATAGCCGCCAATAATGGCAGCTCATCGCATGAGTTTGCCGCGTGTGTGCGCCTTCCATTCTTCGCCCGGGGCAAATACATGGATGAGATTCTTGTGGTCACAGTACATCTTGAACCCCGTAGGTCGCATAAGCATGTAATTGAGCTTCTCGCACGCACGCGCAATAGGGTAGGCCTCCTTTTCGATGACTGACCAGGCCTTCTGGGCGCCCGCAAATATCCCCGACTGACACAAGAGCAGTTCGTGACGTTGTTCTTGGACTGGGCTGTCATCATCGAATGCCACCACTTACCACAATCGACCATCCATGATCGCTCACGTCCGTAAACAGACACATCATGGCGTCATCCCGCGGGTGAGACAGTTCCACCGATGATCGTAGCTTGGACTTCACGGCGTCAAACGCTAGCTTCTCGCCGTCGGTCGGTTCCAACTGAACACTAGACGCGATTCGCTTCTTCTTGCCCTTGCCTTCGAGGGCCTTCGTCAGACACTGCTGCAGTGGGTCGACGGTCTGTGCGTACTCTGTCATCGAGTCCCGCAGCCAGTTCACGGCGCACACAAACTGCTGCAATTCTCCCGCATTCGTAGGTTAGGGGATCGCACACAGATGTTCTATGCGTTCAGGGTCTTGCGTGACGCCATCACCACTGATGATGCGTCCGCACCACTTGAATTGGTCCGTGAACAGCTTGGTCTTGACTCAGCTTGAACCCTGGGCCACTCGATCGAAGAACGACCCGAGGGCATCCACATACTCTTCCACTGTGTCGGCGTACACAAAGATGTCGTCGATCCAGATCAGCATGTTCTTGTAGAGCAGGTCTTTGTAGCACTCCTCGTTCGTTGATTGCACGTAGAGGGCACTGTCCACATGGCCTTGCATCACTCGATCCGGGGTGTACACACATCCGTTCAGCATGAACGACAACATGTCCCAGCTGTCTGGGTGTAGTGGAAACTGCCAAAAGCACTTGGGCAGGTCAAACACACCCATCGCTTTCTTGCCTCGTAGGTTCTGGAGGATGGTAGCCTGGAACGGCATCGTCCCTGCTTTCGGCTCGGTTAGCGAGTTGACTACTCCGTAGTCGTTGGTTAGCCGATAGTTCTTGAGCACGTCATAGTCGCTCCATTTGTCGGTCGACTTCAATGACTTGCGCCCATCTGGTTTGAGAAATGGGTTCACCGGGCTGCACCATGCACTTTGCTGGTTGCTCTTGATCACGCCCGCATCGAGTAGTTGTTGTGCAAACAACTTGAGTAACCTCTCCTCCAGGAGGTTTGCTTCCTTCCTTTGCATCGGCATCCACTTGCAGGCGCGCCACCTGTTCCAGCAGGCGGTCGATGTCGATACCAATGGTCTTGAGGGTGTCGTCCGAGACGAGGAATTCATCTCCGTCGTTGACCACATAGCAGCGGCGCTTGCCTGGCACCTTGACTGGTCCAGCGGCCGTCTTCATTGTTAGCGTAAGGTCCACGTAGGAGCTCGCTTCCAATGGCATCTGATTGTATGCTGTTCCCACAAATGGCGCTGCCAATTTGACAACTTGAAGTTGTGGCTGTAACGCTTGAAGTTCATCCACCATGGCTTGTGGCACAATGTTTTGGTCTGCGCCGGTGTCCGGGCAGTATGGAACTTCCAGCACACTGTTCAGCCGTACCCAACGTCCATCATCCTCCTTGCTGGGCGGTGGGGGTTTCTTCATTCGCTTCGCTTGCATATTCGCTTTGCGTTCCCGCGCCTTGAACCGCTTGACGGCGTTCTTGCCCTTCTCCCAGCTTGTATAGCCGCTATCCCCGTCTTTTTTGTTGGGACATTCCCGGGCCATATGTCCTGGCTGCTGGCAGACAAAGCACAGCATACCACGGTCATCCCAGCCGGGTGCGAATCGAGGGCGTGCTTCATCACGCACCGCTTGGACATGGCGGTCGTCGTGTCTTGGGCGCGAGTTCGCTTGCGGTCCGTACTTTGTGGCTGGTGGGTCCCCCGTTCGCTTTTGTGTCGACGGGGACCACACCGCCGCACTTCGTTCCGGCTTGATGTATCCACCTGGTGGACATGGGTAATTTTCTCGTAATTCCCGCTGATCTCGAACAGCTTGGTTGGCCTTCTTCGCATGTTTCGTGATGCGGCGCCCTTGGTCATCTTCTTCAAGGTCACGCTTCGAACCATAGCTGTTTCTTTGTTGGTTGACCATGTCCGCGTCATGCGTTCGGTCGAGCTGTTCCCGTAGGATATCCGCAAAGGCCACCAGATCGTTCGCTGGCACGGTCTTCATTTGCTCTTCGACTCTGTCGCGTAGGTAGCTGGGTGTGACACGCGCTGCTACCACCTTCACGAACGTTCTCAGCATGGTTGAGTCTTTGAGTTGCTGACGTAAGCCGTTTTCGTCGATGACGTCATCAACCCGCTCCATAAATGACACCAAGCGACTGGTCACGTCTCCATGGGGGTCGACACTCAGCGCCCGACAGTATGTTTGCATGTCTGACTTGGTGGGTGTCCACTTGGTCTCTGGTTGTCCGACGATTTCCATGATGCGGTCGTGGTAGTCGTCCTCACTGAGTTGTTCCACAGGCACTCGCCAAACATAGGTGCATGTAGCCTTCAGGAGGCTGCAGTCAGTGGAAGGGATCCACCCCACAGCACTCCGTCGCCACTCGACGACACCCATGCGTTGCGCATTCGCCCGTAGCTTGTCCACATATGTCTCCCGCTTCTTCACCCAACTGACTAGGAATGTTCTGTCCATACAGGTGATCCGAGGGGGTTGGACATCTGTCACCACTAATGAAGGTCCACTGGAGTTGAAGTTGGGCCCCCATCCTCCGCTGCTTGGCGTCGGTGGTCGTAAGAGGTCCCCATTCTGAGTTCTGGGCGACGTGGGCTAGCAGCTCGGACGTCACGTCCAAGTCACCGTCCGCGTAGAACTTCAGGCGGCTGCCGTGCACGGGGCGGACCTCGTAAGTCACCTCGTGAGTCAGCAGGTTCTCGACGGCGTACACCCAGTTGCTCGTCACCTCGGTGACGACAGCCGGGCCGCACCACTTGGTCCGTAACTTCTAACGCAAATGCGCCCATACGTCCTGGTAGAGGACATAGTCCCCCACTATGAACTGGGTCATCTGCATCCCCTTCTTCTTTTCGTGGTACTGCCGCCAGCGGTCGCCCTTCCATGCGTTTTCTACCGACATCAGTTTGTGCATTTCTTCCAGCTCCAGCTGGGCCGCGGCAATGTTCTCGCGTTGACCTTCTTCCACCTCGGCCAGCGTGGCCGACATGATCTGACCCGGCAACGCCATCGTGTCAGCCGGCGACATTGCCAGACGGCCAGACATGGCGCCACGGGGGGCATACCGCCGAGAGATGGGGACGGCAGCTGGTTGAGCACGAGCATGATGATGAGGTGCCTCGGGCCACTGATCGGGCGCCATGCTCCACTCGCTCAGACATGCCCGGACTAGACACAGACACTGGCACATCACAGCCTCTACTGTGCCATTCGCCCATGGGCAACTGGCAGTCGTGAAGTGATGATGAGCCCCCAGCACGTGCTGGAGCTCCGCGACTACTTGGTTCTTGAAATGGGTCCCCTGGTCGGAGACCCCACTCGTAGCCCACGCCGAACACGGCGAACCACTGCAGTAGGCAGTCCTTAACGAACGCACCGTGGCCTCGGGAGCCGGGAACAAACAAACCATCTTGCTGGCGTCACACTTGACTACCAGCAGGTACTTGTCGCCTGTCTTCGAGACGCCCATGAACACAAAGTCCCAATGAATCAGTCCATTGGGTGTGGTCGAGTGGAGGGCCTCGCCAAGCGGGTGCGGCGAACCGCCAGATGCACTGGTACAATGTAGGCACCGACGCACAAAAAATTCGACATCGCCCTTCATGCCGGTCCACTGGCAGAACGACTCCATGCTGGCAACGTGGCCTTGGCCGTGCGGTGGCCGGCCACCTTGCATGGGCACACACGCACAATCGCAGCTGCAACTCGGCGGCGGTGACGGGCACCCAGATCACGTCGTCGACGAGACGTAGAGGCCACGCCTGGCCAGACGCCAGCACCACCAGGTGGACGGCGTCCAGGCTCTTGGTCATTCTCGACAAGACGTCGTCAGGGGCGACCACCTGGGCTTCGGCGATGGACACAAATGTTGGCCAAACAAACTTTTCGTCCCGCAACGGCGAAATCAGCAGTGGCTGCTGGCTGATGGCACCAATGCTGGGGATGTCATGGATGACATTACTGTAGCCCATCAGCAGCAGGGCCCACCGTTCCAACTTTTGGGCCGTGTACTTGGGCACAGATGCCACAACAGATGTTGGGCTAAAAATATATTTCAGATTGCGATGATCCGTGTACAAATTGAAACCTACGGCGGGATGGAGGAGGTAGTCCGCACGGACCAACGTCTCAACAATTGCATACGCCTCCTTCTCCACAATTGCCCACCCACCAGCTGCACCGGTGAAAGTGCCGCTCAGGAACATGAGCGGCTGGTGGTTCTGGGCGTCAATCAGCCGGTGCAACTAGTCGGGCGGCACTTGCGTGATCACAGATCCAAAGTGGACTTCCGACGCGTCAGCAAACACACAAAGTCGGTGCTGGGGGTCAGGGTGACACAGCTCCACCACGTTTCCAAGTACGGACATGGTCTTGGCCAAACAATCGTCGTGCACGACCGTCCAGCCGACGTCCTCCAACAGCACGTCTGCAGAGGCCTGCTTGGTCCTCTTACCCACCAGCGGTAACACCCGCTCCAGCATCTCGGCCAACGGCTGCACCAGCACGTTGTAGCCGGGGATGCTCATGCGCATCCACACATACTGCTGCAGGTTAGCACCAGCCACGGGGGACAGAAGCTGTTGGAGCGTCTCAACGCGGGCGGGGTCATGCTTGACCCCAGTCCCACTGATGATGCGCCCGCACCACCTGGCCTCGGTCACGTAGAAGCTGCACTTTTTCGGGTGCAGCTTCAGACCCTTCTCAGCGCACACAGCCAACACATCAGCCAGTACACCCAACAATCCCTCGCGGGTACGATGGTACCTCAAGAGGTCGTCTACCAGGCCAACAGGCCTTTGTACAACTGCCCGGAAAACATCTCCCGCACAGTCGACTGGCAGTACGATACGTTGTCGCTACCACCCTGTATCATGAGGGTGGAGGAATAGACGCCGGTGTCGGTTAAAAAGGAGAACATCTCCTGGCAGCTGGGGTCGAGGGCGGACTGCCAGTACCCCTTGAAGAAATCGAGGAGAAAAAAACACACAACACCACTCAAATGATCCACCTCCACCTCTAACATGGACATCGGCTAGGCGATCTGCTCGGTCTGGCTGTTGATCGGCCGCAGGTCCACCGTCATTCGGAACTCATCCTTAGTGTGGGGCTTGCGTACGATCAGGGGGGCATCGGCTGGCGGGGTTCCGGTAGACAAAACCGGCTGCCTCCAACTCCTTCACATGCTGCTGCATGAATTCTCGCTGTGGCAGGGAGTACCGACGGGCCTTGCATCTTATCGGCCGCGCCCCATTGGCCAAGTGCACCTTCAACGGCGGCATCTTGACTGGTGGGTCGCGGCCCAGACTCAAACGGAATACGTCGACGTACTTGTCGAGGAGCACGGCCAACTTGGCGCCAAACTCACTTCTGCAGCCGGCGGTCACGGCCTCAACCACCTTAGCATCCAACACCACCTTGACCTTGGTGGTCTCGCCGGTGGCATCGACGGCAACCATGTCGGGGAAACATGAGTCCATCTCCAAGGGCAACCGCTCCTCCTCTTTCTTGGCCAGGTCATCCACGAGCTCGTGGGACACGGTCGGCACGACCCCGCTGTGCGAGACGGCGTCGGCCATGTCAATCGTATCGGTGAAGGACGCGGCCTCACGCAGCATGGCGCGTGGGTCGAACCCAGTCCTCCTCCGTCAGCTCGTGACTGGCCTTCCCGATCTCGCAGTAAGCGATGCGCTCGACCGAAAACGGGTCGATGCATGCGCTCAGCGGCGCGCGCTGGATCTGAGCACCATCGGGGTGCTGTGCGTTCGCGATGTTGACTTCACCGGCGTACGCTTCGTACTGGTCCATGAAGTTGCGCATCTGCACCTTGGTGCTGCCGTTGAACGACGGGGCCTTGGGCACCTCTTGGAAACCACAGGCGACTTGGACGCCCGCGACCGCGGGGGCAGTCGTGGGCGCTGCAACAGCCGGCACCGGGGTCGCCGAGAAGGCATGCCAACGGGCGCTAGTCCGACGTCACATCTCCTCCAGCTGCTCGCCGTGCCTGACAGACGCGGCGGCAGTTTGGTGCAAACCTTGCTCGTAGGCCTCAGTCTGCTTCTTCTGTGCGTGCAGCTGCTCGACGAGGACTTCTTGTCGGCGGCGCTGCTCCTCTAGCTCATTTCGATTGTTCATTTCCATTTGCCTACGAGCAGATGATGCACCTGCACCATCAACAACTCGCAGCTGTTGTTGATGGTGCAGGTGCATCATCTGCTCGTAGGTATGTCGCGTATGGGCGCCGACAGCATTCTGCACGTCATCCAGCGGCGCGGATTGTTCGTGGACAGCCGCCTGCACTTCGTTGCCCATGTGCTGACCCAACCGCTGTACGGTAGCGATTTCCGGGGGGTAGGCCGCGTACGGCAACGCACTAGCTGGCGGCGTTGTCGGAAACGACATCGTGGGTGCGTATTGCATTTCTTGTGAGACGGTGCGTCGGAGCACTAGACCAGCCGTTCCGGGTGAAGACGACATTCTGGGTAAAATGTAGATCGCTGCAAACGAGAGAGATCGAACACGAGTAGATGCACAGAAACTTGTGGGCGACAGGAGACTTTGACTAAAGAATTCTTTGTTGTATCTCAACCACTTCAAAACCGACCGAAACCAAAACGTTGGAATATTCAAAGGTAAAAGGCGAAGTGAGTTACAACGAACCACTCAAACTACGTAAACTCTCAGACCCGATAAATGGGTCGATACACTCTACCAATCCATATGGTACTCGTACCACCAAAAGTACGTACCAATGGACGGCAAGGAGCAGGCACCACAGGTCTACTACTTTCCGTCTCAGTAATTCGAGTCGAATACATCAGGTACAATGTGGTTAGGATTTGACCAGCTCTTTTCGCCATTCTTTGAATTTGTGAAATGTGCGGCTGCGATGGACCGGACTTTTGCTACTTGGATCAAGTAGCAAAAGTGACGTCTCTTGTCAGGCTGCAACGTGGTCATCCTGAGCGTGGCAGGAACTGCTGGTGTGATTGCAGATGTATTGGTGGTGGCGCGGGGATCTGTCGTAGTGTTCTGGGTAGAGACGTGGTAGGCCCAGGTGTGTTGTTCCACGTCGGCAGCTGCTGCGACTGCCATGGATGCACCTAGCACCACGACCAAGTCACCTTCGACGTCGCCGGTAACCCCTTGTACCATCACGGTTATGCCTGAAGTTTTGATGCCAGCTCCAACTACGTCCAGATTTTGGCGCAAGACTACTACTCGATCGCCAAAAGTCCCCCCCTCGCTAAGTCACCTCATCCACCAAATTCCCCCGATGAACATCGTCTACAAATATTGACATAACGTTCATCACGATGTGCATCGCGCCACATCAAAGAATTGGGATCAGAATCACTTCAAGTACGGAAAAGATGCAAGAAATAGGGTCATTCAAAATATTGATGCTTTGAAGTAAATAGGTCAAAAATAATACATAAACATGCGATGGGGTGTTTACACGCAAGGAACTCCGGGTTCAGAAACCGAGGACAACTGAAAAGCCAACTGTTGAGGTTTTTCATGTATTAGTAATGGGTTGAGTACTCTGCATTCGCTACTTTCATTACACACTGTTTCCAGCATGTGTTAAAGCGTCGCTCCCATGCAGGTGGACGTGGGTCGCTCGAAAATGATCTAAGGCCGCGCTCGAAAATACTCCATTGTTTGCTCGAAAGCAATGCGCACCCAACAACCTTGATCGAGCCAATTGATGCCACGATTCTGCTGGTGTGCAGCGTAAGCGCCAACTAGAATATCATAAGGGGGTGATAGTGACGCAACTTGATGAATTTGATAAAGATTGTAGTACAACACACATTGCCTTGAAGAACAAACTGATAAGTAGAGGGTTTAGCCTGCCGTGCGGTGGAGACACTAGGTAAAGAAGGCTGTATCA